ATGAAGGCAGCAGTCTCTCAGGATGGGGCCTTCCTGGGATATACAACTTTCATCACGGATTTATACCCCAACACTTTACAAATGTCAATAGTCTGTCATTGAACATTTGTGTAGGGCAGTGACAAAAATGATTAAAGTGTAAACATTACATTTTAAACAGTCAATTACACAGCCCTATAGGTTTCACTAACTAGAAAATGTACCTTCTCTCTACTTAAGGACATAATTAGAAGCAGAGATATTCTTCTATAATCAAATTTAGGAAGCGAGGCAGTTTCAGCTTTCAGTCAGAGGCGAAATTGGGAACAGAAAGTCAATACAGCTGAGCTAAATCTAAAACTCAACTGAGTTGGGAGTGGGAGAGATTAGGGTGGGGGTCAGACCAAAGATGGCTTCTCAAAGTTCTAACAAATAGAGTTGACAGAAGAATGTGAGGGAACATGTTTTCGTTTGAATTTTTTTTTTTTTTTTTTTACATAGGCAAAATTTGATGGTTGTATGTTAAAGGCTTCCACTGAAAGTTGCTCTTGTCTAAAGTCGTTTTCAAAAAAGCTGAGCTCCCCTAGCTCCTCCCCACGCACCTGACTTCCACATTCTCCACACAAGTAACCCATTTGCTCTCAATATTCAGTTTGGTTTCTTTTGTTAGGCAGGATATACAGGCTACAGGAGGACTGCGAGGGAGGCAGAGCAGGGGAAGAACAAATGAAAGAGCTCCCATCTGTCCACTCCAGGGCCTTTCTGTTGACCCGAGGGCCATCCCACTAAATTACTAATGTGGCTTGCCAGCCGGGCAAGCGGCCTGCCACTCCCGTTGGACTGCAGCTCCGAATGCTGCTGAGTGCCTTCCGCGCTTAGCACCTGCAGACACTCGAGCAAACCATTCTCCCTCGCTCCCATAGCTGTTCTCCACAGGGCTTCAGGCAGGTGTCCCCCAGCCGGGCCAGGCGAGGGCTCTAGATGGCCCACAAATGGAACTGAAGTGTTCAGCATTTTGCAGAGAAGAGCCTGTCAAGGAATTGCTGGGCCAAGAGGATAAACACTGGTGAAGAAATTCTTCACTGAAATGTCTAGGAAAATAAGGACCCGTGGATTGCCAACTATGAGCAGAGACCAGGTGTTCGGGTGCCCAAAGGAGGGTGCATATTTTGTCAATAACAGAAGGCTGCACAGTCACAGATAATAAGGCAGGGGCAGGACCCGCCATTTCAGCTCTTCTCCCGTGTTTATCCTCACGATGTATGTCTCTAGTTTTCGTGTCACAGAGGGGAGACGATGTTTAGTGAGCTCCACATTCTGGGCCTGAGCTGGCTCCCAGCACTTCACTTTCCGCAGGTGGCTGTGAGTTTGTGTGGGCAGAAGGACGCCTTCAACAGGCTCGCGAAGTTCTTTGCAGTGGCTGCCAGGCTGGTGGGATGGGGAATACTAAGCCTGAGGGAAAGAGCTGCACCTCCTCGTAGGGTGAGACAGATGAGACAAGTACAACCCAGGCCCAGGAGCCCATCATCCTCTCAAACCAGCCTTGCTAGAGAAACTTTGTTGTAAGCTTTTCGTAATTCCTATTTTTAAGCTGTTCTTTGCTTTACACGGGCCTCCTTAGAAATCCTGACTTCTCTGAAACAAACAAAACATACCTGATATATACAGCTCAAAGGAGAAAAGGGTTATTTTAGCTCACGGTGCTGGGCAGCTGGCTGCAAGGCCGAAACAGCACAAGAGGGTGTGGTGGAGGGGAGCTGCTCACCTTCTGAGAACAGGAAGAGCCAGAGCAGGGGTCCCGGGAGCAGATGTAGTGCCCCGCACCACCCAGACATGACCACAAGCATGCTTCACTAACCTCCTAGGCATCTTGCAAGCCAATCACGATTACCCATCACAGCAGGTGTCTAGTAGGGGAACTATTTACTGCTTTTAGGAATAATCTCTGATATACACTTCTTCTAAATCCTACTAACTATTTTCCTGAGGATAAATACTGCCTTGCTGGTGGGGACAGAGGACACCAGGAGCAAAGCAGGTCTTCCCTTCTCCCTTCCCCATCCCTTTCTGTGCTCCCCGCTCCCAGCTCTCCATCCTGGGGCTGTGTTTTGAATCAGAGCCAAAGTGAGAGGACACAAGGGCTTCCTGCCAATAGGCCAGACATCGAGAGGTTTCCAGGAGAGATTTCCTCTAATAAAATGAAAGTCTCCGAATATGCCAGAAGGAAAGAATGCCAAAGGAAACCGTCTTCTCTATCTGCCTCAGTAGGAGGGACACGGCCTGTGTCAAACCCAACAGGAACAGGGCGCCTGGCCTTGGAAGGTGGCCATGGGTGGCTCTGGGGCCAGGTACCGCTGTTTCACATTTCAGGCATCAGCTGCTCAGAGCAAAGCTTTGGGGGAGCTGTGGACAAATGAATTCCTAATATCCTTCACGTCTCTCGGGCCTCCCAGGTCCTCTCATCCCCAATTGCTACCTCATTTTGACGGCTACATATTTTCAGGACTGAGAGGAAGGATATACAAAGAGCAGCATTTTAAGAAGATGCTGGAGATTAGAGCACTCTAAGCACAATCTTCATTATTATTGTTGTTGTTGTTATTATTATTAATAAAAATAACTTTATTATTATTATTATTCTTTTGGAGCACTGCGGATCAACGCCAGGGTCACTCTACTAAGTCACATCCCCAACCCTTTTTTACTTTATTTTATTTTGAGACAGGGCTCACTAAGTTGCCCAGGTTGGCCTAGAACTTGTGATCCTCTCTTGCCTCAGCCTCCCAAGATGCTAAGATTACAAGCGTGTGCCATTGTGCCTTGTGAGAACCTTACTTTTAATACAATGGTCTTTGTTTATTTATTTATTTTTCCTGGTGCCGGGAATTGGACTAATATGATGGTCTTAATCGGGGGAGACTGAGGTAGCGCCTGTGAGCCCTGGCCACTGAGCGGCTGAAACGCCTTTTTCTATCTCTGACACAAGTCACACAGCACTCTTGAATTCAGCAGTTTGCAGAGACCAAAGCAGATGTCAACTGGGAAGGAATGCACACAAGCCTACAGCCAGGGACTGTGCAAGGCACCAAAAGCCTGCGATGCAATGTATCGTGCCTCTGCTTGGGAGCTTCCCTACTGAAGTCATTTTGAGGGAAGCCAACAATAAATAACAAAATATGCAGGAAGAGCCCAGAAAGAAGGAAGAGACTGAATTTTCCAAGCAAATAGCAATAGTGAAGGGACTGTTTTCCTGTGAGGGAGGGGTTTGGGCATAAAACCCCACATAGATGAAGCAAACCTCTGAACTGCATGCTGTTTTATTGGGATACTCTTTCAGTTTAAATCTTGATGAATATTGATAAAGAAAAGAAAAAGAAAGACACAAAGGCCTTCTTGGGCTTGGGTGACAACAGCGGGTGAGGTCGCCGTGTGTCATGTAATTGCTAGCTGGAAAGAAGCACCAGGCAGGTAGTGGCAATTACCTGGCAGGCACCAGCTGAGACCCCTTTGTTTGCAGCAGGAAGAGGGGATGGGGGAAGTGCGCAAGGACCTGACGCCGAAGAATCCTCACGTCCTTGCACCTGGGCATAGCTGTGCTTCATGCTTCAAATATTAAGCCCACATCTCTCCATTCTCTAATTGGAAGATGTTAGTCTTAAAGGAAGAACATAGCACGTGCCCCCCTAGAAAGGCACTGAAGATTTCAGATTCTGCGCTCCTGGTCCCTGTCACCTTGAAATGCTGCTGCTCTCTCTTCGTCTCACTACCTTACAATGGATGAAGAGTGGAGATTCTTCAAAGCAAACAGGTACTGGGAATTTCAGTCTTGCTTCTGGTTCTGCAGGTTTGCTTTGACCCTGGGCTCCCAGCTCCTCTGGCCCACTGTTCACATTCAATAAAGGTCTCCACTCCTGTATTACCCGCCACATGAACAGGTGGCCGTGGCTACACGAGAGGTTCACTTCATTTAGACTTCACCGGCCACTGATGTGGTTTTTGTTCCCATTAAATGTCAGGTTAAAGAAGCTTTTAGGCCCTTGGCTGTGGCTTGCAATTGAGAACAATAATGGCTGGGAGGTCTGGGAGACCAGCAGACATCCCCTATCTAGCTCCACCTACTGACAGAAAGGTCAGGTCCTCAGCCACTGAAGAAGTTAATGGAGCAAAAGAGAACTTGTGCTAAAACATTCTTGCCTTATTTTTTTTTTTGGCACCAGGAATTGAACTCAGGAGTTCACGCTTGCCAGGCAGGCACTGTGCCACCGAGCTATATCCCCAGCCCTCTGACCTTATTCTTTCAGCAAGATTTCAGTCTGTACACAATACAGTTACTTACCTGCAGCTTCAATATTTGGAAAGAAACAAAGGAAAGGAAAGAGGCTAAGAAAAGAAGCCAGTGTCCTCTAGGTAAAAAAGCATGAAAGGGCCAACATTAAAAGCAGGAGTGCACAAATGTTAACCCGCAAGCGAACCTGGCCTGCTGCCTACATGAGATAAGTTTCACTGGAATCTTCAGGTCCCTTCACTTGTATCGTCTGTGGCTGCTTCTGTACTCTGATAGCAGAGCTGAGTGACTGGGATAGAGACCCGGCCCACAAAGCTCAAAATATTTATTATCTGGCTCTTTGCAGGAAAAAAAATCGCTAACGTTAGTTTAAAAAAATAACACAGAATTTCCTTTAACTTTGGAAAGTTAAGTGTTTCGGCAAGAAAATTCAGTTAATCGGTAACAAATGTCATCAGACACTTCAAAGGGAGCATTACTATTTAGTACAGAAATCAAGTGGCCTTCAGTTTTTCTGAAGCGTCCTTTTATTATCCAGCTATCAGATGCCATACTTTTCCACGCTCATAGACACTGAGCAACTTCCCATTCTCTGGTTGGGGCAATAAGATCATGACATCTGAGGGACCCCACTGGAGCCCACTCTGGGAGTAAGGAGCAGCCACTCCTTTCCACCTGAAGAGCAGCTGAGTGTTGCTGTGACCCTCACAATGGTGAGCAGAAGCCATCACTGTACCTGTTGGCCAAAAGCTGGGATCTGGTTCCTGAGGGCGAGGTCAGGTAGATGGCCAGGTCTCCTCTCCGGGGGTGAGTGATGGTGACGCGCACAACCACGTGCTCCAGGTAGTTGACGTAGTGGTTGGGGTAATCAGAGCAACCTGAGGCTTTGTAGATGGAGCGTATTGCACTGTTGGGACGAATCGTCCTGTAACAGAGAGAGAGAGAGAGAGAGAAACACCTTTGAGCAAAGGGTGCAGCTGAGCTCAGATGAGTGATCCTGGAGACTTGGAATGAGTATGCAAGATAAGCAGGCAGCTGGCTGGTGGATATTAAGTGACAATAGTGCTAACACCTAAATAATCAGGCCACTTAAAGTTCTAATGGTTAGAGAGTGAGAAGGAAGCAGCTGAGGGGAAAAGGGGACTCCAAGCCCTTTTATCTTCATGCAAGTAGTGGGTCACCCAGTGGGCTGAGCCTTGGAATCACCTGGTGAAAATGCAGACGGGGCCCCAGCTCAGAGTGGCTGAGTGTGCAGGTCTAGGCTGGCTCCTGTGCACGTTTATTTCTAACAAGTTCTCAGGTGACACTGGTACTGCTGATCTCAGGAAAACACTCAGAGAACTCCCACATGGTGGTTGTGTAGCGGAGGCCTGAGAACGTGCACCACTTGGATTCCAGTCCTTGGTTTACCACTTGCTCCATAACCCAAGGGCTCACTGTCCCCTCTCTTTTGCAGGTTCCTGTCTTCCTCTCCAGCTTCCTCCTATGCCACAGTCCACTGTCTGGGATAATCCTAGCTTTCCACGTGGAAGACCTTGTGAAGACCTCGAGCACACTACTCTGCCTGCAGTATTTTCTATTTTTTGCTTGTGGTTTACTCTTCTTCTTCCTTCAAGATGAAAGCTTAAATTTCACCTCATTAAACCAGAGGCAAAACTTGTTCTCTATTTTTAATCTCTTACCTTTTAAAATTTCCAACGTTCATTTAGAACTTGTAAGTACTGCTTGTTACATTTTTCTTGGTTGTCTTCTCAAACCCTAAACTCTACAAGGGCAGGAAGCAATTTTTATCCCCTCTACCTTCTCCCTAATAACTAGCTTAGGGTGTCATATCTGGGAGTATAAGAGAGGCAGTGGCTAAATTGGTGAATGAGTTTGTGAATAGATAAACAAAAAATTCCACTGATAGCGTTTTTCATTTACCAAATGGACTAACACTCAAGTTGTGTGTACGTTTTAAGAAAACTGTTCATGAGATTTCAAGCATTTGGCTTGGCCCATAATAAATGCTCAGGAAACACTGATTAACTTTTCACTCTTTCTTTATCCTTCTCATTCTTTTCCTCAGAACAGTAGCCTGGGAGAGGAAAAACATTACTTTCTGCTTCATAACAAATTTCCTCAAGAAACTGTAAGGAGTCTGGTATCACCATAAACCAAAGTTTATACATAAATATTTTTCAGAGACAGTGTTCTCTGAAAAGAAAGCAAAGAAGGAAAGCCTATGAGGCCACTGAGAAGGAATGCTGAGCCCTGGATGTCACACCTCGGAGTGACTTCATACAACTGCTTGGTGAATACTCTCTGGGCTTCTGCACAGCTAACCCTGGAGAGCAGACCCTCTTATCTTGGAGTCAACTGCACGCTCATGAAACTTACATTTTCTGTTACTCTTTGGAGAACAACAGGGTTTGCAGTTAAGTTTCCAGAACAGATGTTCTGACTTTGAAGTAAATCAACTTCTGGAGAGTATTTACACTGTCAAATGCAGATCTGGACAGAGTAAAGGACCTTGGAATGCCCACTGGTAAGGGACTCCCCAAATCCTTTTGCTTTTATGGGTCCTGGGGCTATACTAACATGGTGATCACAGCTTAGCATTCTTGACATTGTATCACAATGGTATAATTAAATCAGAAAGAAATTACAGAAACTTCTAACTTCCACGTGTAAGCAGGGGCTGCTGCAAGCGCTTGTACTGGCCTCCCTCTTTTCGGGGCATTATCATGCTATCTGGTGGCCGCAAACATTACTTGATTTGTCGGTCTGTGCTCTCCACACACACATGCTGCTGGGGGACAGTGGTCCACTTCTCCGCCTCCATCACCATGGCTTCAGCATCCATCAGTCCAAATCCATAGAGATGGCTCACTGTGGAAGGCAAGAGTTTGGTCAGCTTCACCATGTTTAGTGGCTGCCTGTGCTACATGTGTTGAGTTACAAGGTCACTCAGAGAAGATGTCAGAAACACCCCAATGTGATCCTAGCTCTCTTTCCAGCAAAAAATTGAAAACCAAACCAAACTAAAACCAAATAAAACATGTCAAGAAAGTAAGATGAATGTATATTACTCATTGATAATGTTATTACTAGTGATGTGGCTATTATGATTTGTTGATAGCCACTCCTTTACCTGTCTACCTTTAATCCTCCCAGTGTGTAGTCTTAAGACATTAGTGTGGTTATTGTCATCCTCATGGATGAGAAACTGAGGAATAGAGAGAAACTTGGCCAACACTGACCAGCAAGTAAGTGGTAGAGCTGGATCCCAACTCACATTGTTGTGCTCTAAGGTCCCACTGTTAATTACTTGCATTAACAAATGATGACACTGTTGATTTTGTGAGGTAAAATAATTAACAGATTTAAAGAAAGTTATAAGGTATACAATTTCTCAAAGTGCAAGCAGAACTCACATGTAAGAAGTACCAATTTTATGACATATCCAGTAAGTAGATTAAATATTCCAGAACACATAAATTATTACCTTTCTTCTAGCACATAAAAAATTCATTCAGCTATATACATAAAATATCTGGGGGCCTCTAGACTTTTATGCTAGCTTTCGTCTTCCAAAGTGTTAGTCCTCAGTTAGAGTACCTGTAGATCTAAAGCTGAATTGGACATAACTGTCTCGGAAATGTCAGTTAAGTACAGGAACGCTTTAATGATGATACAGCAAAATCTACATTAGCAGCTCTTTCTAAAAATACTTTAAAATCTCAGTTGAATACATGAAATCTCTATGTTGCATTAAACTGTATCTTGTATCTTTATATTCAACATGAAGTCATACTTTCACCAGATTTTGTCTAAGACGTTCCCATCATGGCACTAGTTATACAAACATTCCTACAGTGGTCTGTATTTATCTATTATTTTAAGTACATCAGGTTGAAAACCATGATGTTCTACAATACTGCCTCATTCTACTTTTGAAACAACTTCCTCACCAAATCTTCTGCCACTCTTGGACAGTTCCCAGTTGGAAGTCTGTCTCCTGCCTCACTGCTTTTGCTCATGGTCAGTTCTTGGCCTGAAATTCTCAAATTCTTTTCCGCAGATTCAAACCTTACTCTTATAAATTCCTAAAGGCCTACTGAACCTACCTTCTTCCTGAAATATTCTCCAGCTAGTGAAGTAACAGAAGATATTTATCAAAACTCAACCATCTGTGACCAGTAAACGTTTATCCTTTATACTCCTATAACTAACCAATCCATTTGCCCACCCACTCAACCACCCATCCACCCATCCATCCACCATCCACCCACCCATCCATCCATCTATCCATCCATCCTATATAACAGGTCTTATATCAGACATTGGATTTTTATGTGCTATCAGTTTCATTGGTAGTTGACACCATCTGTTAGTATGTGTCCTTTTATTCCAAATGCATTATAACTGGCTGAGGGCAGAAACTGTCTTAAATATTTCTTTATAGATTTCATGAGAACTTTAGCAGAACTTTATGCATATCAGAACACAAAGAAATAGCCCTATTTACATGCAATTCGTTAAACATAATTCTTAGTAATATAAATAAAATATCTAATTCTAATTTCCTTGTTTGGGGATATTATGATCTACCCTGCCACTATTACTAAGTTCATTGAGTATTATTATAATATGACCCATGTGAGAAAATCTGTATAAAGAAGTGTACAAATACAAGGGTTCATTATTTTACTATCAGGTACTTAGCCTGACAGGCCACTCTAAATTAAAAAACAAACAAATCTACTTTACTATAGCAACGATATATTAGGATTTTTATATATGTGCTTTTGCAACGTTTATAATTCATGATTTTCTTTCTTTTCTTTGATTAAAAAGTAATGCATGTTCATTGTAAAAAAAGTACTAAATATATCCAGAAAAAATAAGAAAATGTCGTCAATAATCTTATGAAAAACTGGCAACTTCTATGAACAATTTCATATATTTTATTTTACACTATGATACTATGTAAGGTTATTAAAGAGAGACAAAGTGATCTATTTGATACAGGAGAAATGTCAAGTTTGACCTTAAGAAAGTGTGAGAGGAGAGAGGATAGAGGGAAGATGGAGAATACGTACTAGAACACAGTTAGACATGAAGAATAAGTTTTCTGTTTTACAGCACAGTGGGGTGACCACAGTTCGCAATAACCTATTACATATGTTATACAGAACCAACAGATAGGCGTTCAAAGGCTCTGAATGTAAACAAATGGTAGGCAGATGGAAATACTGATTACCCTCCTTTGCTCAGTACACATATTCATGCATTAATGCAGCACACTGTGCTCCTTACATATGTACAACTATTACATGCTACTTAACAAGAAAAAAAATATAAAGAAGGAAACTAAAAAGAAGTTTCAGCTAAGAAAGCTGAACTGTGAAGATCTTACCAACTTTCATATAACTCCTTTGTTCTCCCTGTCATTCACTCACAGCCTATACCATTTCATCCTGCACATGCTATGGTATTTCCTCGCCCAGGGAAACTTCAATGTTTTACCAAAGATATTATGCCAGGCTCTCGTCCTGCTCAGTCAGTATGCAAACACCACCCTCCACTCCCATCCTCTAAGTAGTGTCAAGTGGTTTAATGCAGAGTAAGTCATCACTTTACCTTACTGTAGGAAGAAAAGATTAAAAGTTGGATCAGTATGTGGACATCAGGGAGAGGATGTGGAGGTCTGAGGGAGTAAGGACTTTGTGCAGTCATGGCAACCCTAGGGCATCTTGGGGAAGCTCCCACCTGGGCACCTGAGCTTGCTTGCTCTGCCACCTGCTTGCCTGCTCCTCTTCTTCCCTGTCACCCACTACCTGACAACTGCTAGGACGTAAGTTGAGAGATACGTCAAATATAACTCACACTTCGTGCCCGATAAGCAACCACTTGTGTCAAGTAACAAGGCATCTTGTGTCTTTATGAAGGTCATTAATCTGTTTTCTTTTCCAATTCAATTCCTATCCTTCCGGGGACAAAACATTCCAAATAGATGTACAGAAAAGAGATGGGCTAGCTACAGTTAAGCTGCAAATTGGTGGGTCCATAGAAACAAATTATACTAATAGGAATAAATGAAGAAACTGATTTGATCATTGAAGGCCACAGAGTCAGTAATGAAGATTTACAGTAGTTTGAAAATATTCAGAATCGTGTATCTGTCCCCAGTCATGACACATAGCCTAAGAAAAGCATGAAGTGAGTATCTTTCTTTGTTTTCCCTTTTGGGCTGGCAACATGTTAATTCCATATTGTTTGATAGGCAGTTGCTTGCTTTATTTGTAAATAGTAATGAGAAAATAATTATATGGTAAAGGCACTGGGAAGATAAACTCATTCAAAACCAGGTGTCACTAGGGGAAATTATCATGAAACAGGGTGGGAGCACTAATAACTTTTGCTAATATAACATTCACACATCTAAAATGACCCAGAAATGTAGAAACACTGATTTGCTTAATTTTTTTTAGACATTTGAGTTATACCTGGTTTGCCTGTCCCACTGTCACAATGAGGAGCCACCGAGATCAGCGGCTGCAGACTGCCTTGCTCAGAGAAAAACTCCATAACAATTTGTGAAATGAATGCAGGAACAGAGAGAATTTTTAGTATACCAAGTGGCATAAAGTGTTAAATAGAAAATTGCGAGGGGAATTAGGAGGCCTGCTCTGTTTATAACTAACTTATGTAAAGTCATCAATAATACATGAAATTTACTCCAGTATAAAGCCAGTATTCAGACTTTACAAATTTATGATGATGGCCGAAGTGCCATACAAACAGCTGTTATGATAGGGCCCTTCCACCCCTATTTCTCTGGCCAAGCCCAAAGCAAAACCTGAGCCTGAAAATACTCTAATGATGATCAAATAGAATCTACTCTGTGCAGGAACTGTGCAAAATGCAAAATTCTATAAAGTTAGAGTACTATTAACATTGGCATGAGTAAGAATCCCAACCAGTTCAAGGAAAAAATTTCCATTCCTATGAATGAGGGCACCAACATCTACTTTAGATTTAACATTAGTTAAGATTCAAAAATTAAATATAAGAAAGCCACACATAGAGTAATTAAAGATCTTAAAGCAAAGCTACTTAAGTGTATTTCAGAAAGTAGATTTATTTCTAAGTAGAGTAATGTGGAAAATCTCTGCTTCAAGGTAGGAGATTTGGAAAACTTGAATCACGTCATATCGGTTCCTTTAGACACAATGGCTGTTTACCTCTTGATATGTGAAGATATTAGGTGAGACCTCATAAACGAGCTCTTAAGGGAAATCCTAAAAAATGTGGTTTTGTCTTGTACCAGAAGTGCAGTTTTAATTCAAAGTTATCCAAAGGCTTCCTTGCTTAAGACTTTTACATGGACAAGAGAACTCAGGGAAATAGGTAAGATTCTTTGGCAGACATACCTTCATTTTTTGATGAGATCAGAAGTGCTGAGGGAAGGTAATCAGTAGGCATACAAGTAAATAATTGGATAGCCTGAAAGCAGATAGAGTTAACTTAAGCAGCAGCTTTAGCTAGGAGGCCTACAAAACTCAATTCTAAAGAAAAGCTAGAAAGCTCAGCAAGAAAAAAAAAAATCAGCATAAGATGCTATACCCAGAGAAATTTACCACACTTTGTATCTTTCAGTAGATTATTCTTCCTGGAGCCAGCTATTTTAAATAATTTTTGTAAAATATTATTACCCTGAATGGATATATCAAGATGACTCTAAAATGACTGTTAATAAAGCACCGTACTATACATAATAAAGGAGTTGATTGGTTAGAATAAGGGTATTTTTCAGAAGTTTTTGAGATTTCTGAAGTGAAGAAGGGTCTTTCTCCTGCCAGCTGTCAGATGCAACCACACAATGT